TTTATGTAGAAAGTATTAATAAGGCCAAATCAGAGTAGATCTGCTGGAGGAGGGAAAAGGGCCCAAAGCCCCTCAGTTACCATGCCCCATGTTCAGCCTTAGACTGTGGAAGAGGGGAACAACTGCTCTGCTGTGGAGATCCCACACCAGCCCAGCAGCCTCACCAAACCCTGGGAGTGATTTCCAAAAGAATCTGTAACATCAAACCTTTAATTCTGTTATCAAAACTCAAACTGTAGTGTCATGCTGATCACCGTGCAAGGCATGTCAAGATACAGGGTACAGTCCCAGCTGCCAGTGGAGCAGTTACCTGTGTACCAGACTGTGCACCAGACACATCCATCTTGAGCTTGTAATGGTTTGGAGGTTACTTGTTTTATGCTACTGATATTGTAACACAGAAGTGACTCTCTTCCGACTTTTGCTCCTTCTGTTCATTAACAATAGCAAATGAACAAAGGAAGCATTTTTCATTGTGCCATTCTGCATCCTCCATTCCCTGTCCAACACCTCTGTGTCTCTCTTCTGATTTTTCTTCCTCAACATTTGGGATGAACATGACACTCACTGTTGGGTTTCAGCACTACCACATCCCTGCTTTTCACACCGTAGGCCTTTCTCTTAGTGGAATCTCTGGGAAATGTGTTGGGAATGCTGGGAAACAGACAACAGTCCTGTAGCAGAAGGGCTGTGCTCTGTGGGCCATCCTTCAAGGAGACCTGCAGACCTGCCATGCACCAAACGCCTGAGCAGCAGAAGTCTTGGCTGCCACACAGAGCAGGAGCAATGACTTGCCCCAACCTCACCCCACTTGTGGCTTTCAGCTGAACAACTCCTTTCTGCCCTCAAATTTTTAAGAGAACTGTGGTAGCCAAACATCCTGTCAGCTGCTGCCTTGTCTTCTGAACGTGGCTGTCCTCTGGTAGTGGAAAGGTTACAAGCACTACTGTAAAGAAGAATGAAGCTCTCTATGAAAGCTGGAACACAGCTCAGGCACAACTCTAAGCTCTTATAGAGATCAAACTGTTCAGGCCTTATTCAGGAGTTTTTAGGTGAGATGTGAAAGGAATTGCATGATATGGCGGACTGTGGTGGCAGAAGATCCCAACTGGTCACCCAGTGAGGTTTCTTCCATCCTACATGAAGAGAAAGTTGTGACCCAGGAGGTGGGAGGCTGCACCCAGCTCTGAAGGAGACTTAAAAGGATGTGCCCACAAGAGGACACTTCTGATTATCTGGCTCTGTGCAGGACTGGTCTAAGCTTGTCTCAGGCTCTAGGTGTTGACAGGATGTTTCCTCAGTACAGTTTGCTATCAGTAGTTGGTAAGGACGCAAATACATCAAACTGTGCCTAAAAAGCACTACTGCTTGACCTAGGAGCAGGATGGGAAAGAAGTTGGCTACAAGTTAGCCCTGGAGAAACATTACAGAGAATGTAAATGGTTTTATATTGTTGCCTATTAATGTTCTAGTGTCTGTGGCTCCACATTCAGAGTTATATTTACTCTGATTTTTATGGCAAATACAAGTCAAGAATAGATTTTTTTCCTAGGTTAGGTTTTCTCTTTACAAAGCAAAGCTAAAAGACCAAAGAATTATACCAAAGCTTGTAATAAGAAAATAAGATTGCAAGGAGATAGAACTGACTTGCAAAGCTGTCAGAAATATTTTGAAGACTAGTTTTTCTAAATCTGTTTTACAAGAATCTTCTTCTTAGTCTCCCATTTTCCAGCATAACTCTGTCCCTTTGTCTCCTAAAATCCCTTCAAGTCACAGATAGTACATACATGAAATTTCACAAACCTAAGCTATAAAAATTCTTTGAAAGCAGCCCTGTATATTACAGACTTTTCTGGCTGAACCATAGCAATGACTAAGCCATGGGAAAAGCCTCCATTCAGCTCTCCTGTAAAGGAAAATGTGGGTGGGGGAACCGGGCTTTCGGGGTCGAAGTCATGCAGCTCTTGGGTGGCACCGTCACGACGAGGAAAGAGGAAGACTTGGCCCGGCAGGGCTGGCCCGGGAGGTTTCTCACATTTCCACTTTCCAGCCATCCCTGTGGGGCTGGGCTGGCGACAGTGTGCAAGAGGCTGTCATTGTTTGACTCAGCCTGTTCCTAAGCCACAAGAGAGCAGTGACGTATAGAAAAAACCTGCTGCTTGCTCTTATCTGATACCAGGGATATCAAGGAGTTTTCTCCACTGCCTAGACAATAGAGGAAGTCCTCCTTTGTCCTTGCATTTCACTTTCTCTGTCAGCACGGCTTCCTTGATACAATTCTTGTGGCCTTACAGCCTCTGACACTAAACAGAAGACTATACAGCAGCTTTAGAGACCTGATATGCAAACACAAGTTGTCATTGTCAAATGCCCATTGTTTAACTTCCCATTTACTCCAACAGCTTTAAAACTGATCTCGGATATAATTTGGATTAGCTCAGACAGAGCCATCTCACCTCCCATGATTTTGGTGGATATCTGTCCCTGCCCCTTCAAGCCCTATGCTTCTGAAAACGCATGGAGAGTTACCTTGGCCATTAACTGAAGTTTTTAAGTGGTTCTGAAGTTGTCTGGAGCAGCAAAAACCTTCAGTGATCTCTTTCCATGAAACACTGCCAATCACCACAAGACATCACAGCTAATAAGAGTCCTTTTACACATCCAAGTGGAAAATTCCCAACCTATCAACCAAATAAAGATGCATAAACGGCTAACAGTGCTACCGACCACCTACTGTATCTGGGCTCAAAGAAAGTTCCCAAAAGAATTCACAGTTGCAATAGTGACAATAAGAAGTAAAAGCAAACATTATCACCAGCCTGTTTCTTTACTATGAACACTTCCAATAGGAAATGAAAAAGTGGATTGAGGATAAATGAACGTTCATCCATGTTACCAGGCAACCTACAGGAAAGTTATGGTAAAGAGGAGCAGAGCCAAGTCCCCTCTTTGTGCAGAGAACCACCAGTATTAGAAATAATCTCTCTGTGTTCTCAGCAGCCTCAGGGAGGTGTTGGACATCAGATAAAAGAAAATATTTCAAATGCTTCACAGGAAGGGGATGGAGGGAGAGAGGATAAAAACAAGTTTTGGTCACCATGTGGTTTCTCAAACCAAAGATACTGTTGATTTCCTTTAATGAACCTTAGCTGTAAATTAACAGACATTTCAAATAAAACTTACTGAGATCCTCTGTACTTCACAGTGCAGCTATGCTGCTTATCTGAAATTATTTTAAGATGTGTCTGTGGGGGGGGGGAAAAATCATCACACCACCTTTTCTTCAAGAAATAAAATTTCAGACTATGTGGTAGGAGAAAGTATTTTTTTCTTACTTGTTTCAGTTCTTATTTTTCAGGATTTCTGTCTACTGGGTGTTAGTAGCTACTCCTTTCACCAGGAGAGATTCTGTGTGTGCACGCACGAGAGTCTGAGTGCAGTTATGTGTATTTACACATACACCTATAATATTTATTCCTTTAGGCTATTCATTTTCTGAGTGGTGAAAAATAACTTAAGCACATGAACAGCATAGAGCAAATAATCATTTGTACACAGAAAAGAAACATGCTAGAGTATGTCAGATAGAGCTCTCACCAGCTTAAACACGCATTTTTAAATGAACAATGAACAAGTGACCCAGCCTGACAGCCCAGATTCACCCACCAGACAGGTTTATACAGATGCATTTTATATGATGTCAGAATATGACACAGGTTACCAGACATCCAACTGCAGTCTCTAAACTCTGTGTAGATCGTGTAAAGTATCCCTAAAGCCATTTGGAATCTTCAGAGGAAAAAATTTGACAGACACATGACCATCTTTTTATTCATCACAAGTGATGTGATTTTAACTGCAAGTTTAACATCACAAGTGCCCAAGTGATTTTAACTGCACTCTACTAATTCCACATGGGAACGCTTTAATGGTATTGATAGTAATTAAATAATGATAATACATAAAATGAATTTATTTTTCCTCTCTTTGTGATGAAATATCAATATCAGTGATTTTAAAATCAACTGATTCCAAGAGCTGGAAATCCAGTATGTCCCTAGTGCCTGCACAGACTTTTGTTTGTCATGCAGTCTTCTACATTCCCAAGGAAATTCTCAGTTGCTGAAGGATGTAACTGAATGTGTGCCACAAGCCCTGGATCACTGCCACAAGCAATAGTGTCCCTTGGGACTGACTCACCAGGATTCAGTCCCTGCTCTTCCAGTACTGCTCCCTCTTGGTAATGGGTGTGTTCAGGGATTAATCTCTCCCAGGACAGTGTATCTCCCTGCAATATTCACTCCCCGTGGACATGTCCTCCAATGTTGTTAATACATCTGCTACTGGTTCCAAGCAAATATAAAGCAAATTTCAGCTGGTTTAAATGCTAAGATGAGCTTTTACTCACAGCTCTAACAGAAGCCAAGCTGAGAATGAAAAAGCCACAGTTTATAGATGTCAGGAGGAAACAACTAACAAACATTCCTTGGAGCCATAAAATAGGATAAATATATTTAAATTTGAAAGAAGTCCTGACATTTTTTTTTCAGAACGGTACAGAAGAGCTGCAGATGGACTGAAGAGATTCATCACTGTATGACACAGGAAAAAAATGCAGAATCTTTATTTACCTAGGCCTGTGGTTTCTAAGTACCAACTTTTTAGTACGTTCATTTCTTGACTCAAAGTGAAAATGGGAATTCACCCTTTTCTCTTTTTTTCCTGCCCAATGTGCAGATGGGGCACATTTTCTTTCACTCCACCAATCCCTGCCCCCCCACGCACAAGCTCGCATATGTGCACCAGTGGAAAAGAAAAAAGGGTTACTCATTAATCCATTCTACAAAGCTTTCCAAACTGAAATGGGTGGGTTCTCCATCTCCAGCAGGGAGCAATATATAGGTAGGTGCAGAGCTTACCTGAGCACAGCTCAAACTGGAGTGTTACACTTGAACAGCACAACTTTGCTCTTGGTACATTTTTAAATAGAACCCATCAGGATGAACAGGACAATTATTTTCTGCATGTTTTTCTTCTGCTCCACTATGGTGCTGACTGCAGATGCTGACTGCAGGAGATCCAGAACAGTAACATACAGACAGATTCACCAGAAAATTAAACAGTTAGAAACTATGGTGAAAGATAAGGTAAGTGATGGTATTGGTCATAATACTGAAATTACTTTCAAGCATTATGTATTGCTGAGTACGTATTTTGTGAGGGACATCACTTTCAAACGTTAAAACTTTTCTAACTTAGATTTGTTTTATTTTAGGATGCTGAATTGCTGCATACACCAGAAAACCCTGTGGTGAGACTGCTTTAACATTCTTTTCATAATTATATCAATTTGATTTTGTACTGGTTTATTCCATTGACAAATGGAAGATGTCTTCTTTTTCACATCTCTGACCTAGTACTCTTAACACAAGCTAGACTGAATAAGAAAATATGTTTAAAAAGTTCCTTTTTCTGGATATTTAATGGCAGAAGTGTTTATATTTTGGCATCATAATTACTATTTTGCCGTTGTATGTGTATCATAACCCACCAATAGATCCACAGTTACACATATTCCATTTTATTAAGAAATAGTGCTAAGAGTAAGGATTGATACAAGAGCCAGAGGAGCAGCAGTGCTTTTGGGGGTGCAGGTATTTGGACTGAAAGTGCCTCCAGCTGCCATGAGCTCCAGCATGGCTGAGCTGCCCTCCCTTGCCTCCCACAGCAGCCAAATGGCCAGAGTGGCACTGCAAGGCTGTGTCACTGAGCGCCTCCTCCCATGTGCAGTCACACTACTCTCTCTGAAACTGTTTCTGCAGGGGTTGTGCTACCAACAGGAAGACAAAACTGCACCTGCAAATATTCTCTTCAGCTTATAACTAGTTAAAAATAACGAGACCAGCACCCTGTGAATCCCTTTTTAATACAGATACTTATTTATATGTTATTTAGTGCTGATATTTTGCATCTTCCAAGGTTAAGATCTTCTTATATACAATGAGTCACCAAGTCTGTGCACTCTCAAAAGTGGTAGGGTGCAGGATGTACCGTGAATTTAAATGCTAATCACAGTAAAATCAGGTCATAAAAACTTAGAGGGTAAATGCATCCTACTTTGATAATCCCTCAACATGCAACTGAGGTCTAGAGCAACCTGTGGTTACCTAATATTACACTTGTGTTATCAGCTGTCTTAAATTTTTGAGTCCTATTTTGTAGTACAAACAATTCTGACTGACGTATAAAAGTGATTACTATACATTACTATGCTATAAAAGCTGTAGGCGTTCTTAAAAATTTATCTCCTCGGGATTCTAAAGTCCCTTGCAAAGCAGCTACAAGAAGAAAGGAAAAAAACTCACCTAATTTCACACAGGTTTTGGTTAGTCTCCTCCAAGGCTTTATAGCTGGGCACATGTTTAACTTGCCAAAAAATATACAGAAGCATGAGCAAACCAGTTACATTCCTTTGAGTTTCGAGAATCAGCTGCAGTGCACAAACTCATTGCCGGGCTTTTTCCTCTAAAATTCTTTCTAACTTGTGGTGTCAAAGTGAAAAGGAGGAGATCATTAGCTGTCATTTTACTCCAGTGTTTCCTGCTGCCTCTGAAACTAAGCAAATACAACTAGTGACTAATTGCTTAATGAGGTTGTTGGGGTTTTTTCTTAAAAAAAGTCATGCTCACCTCAGGAAGGAAAACAACAGTTCACTTGCAGCTTAGGGCTTTACTGTCTGACTCTGGGAGGTCCTAAGTGCCTCCTCTGAATACTAGAGAAGACAGAGAATTCACATATTTAGAAGGTATTAAGTTGATAAAAGTTCAGCTTCTGATGAAAAACATGTTAAAAAGCTGTTAGTGTGCTAATAATAATAATAATAATAATCACCAGCAACCAAATCAACAAGCTTTTCATCCTACAGGGTGACTCAAATACGTATCACAGTGTGCCAAAGTGGCACTCAGGGTGATTAGGTGCCATCACAGCCTAGTGAAACTCAATTTAATAAGAAGTCGCTCACATAACTGCATTTCAAACACCAAAATACTTGAAATTCTTTTTATTATAGCCTGCTCATGCCAGATTTGCATTTGCTCTTGAATATTCAATGAGAAAATAACCTATTATACCATTTAGAGTTAGGTGGTTTATCCCTATCTGTTTTGGCTTCCTTGAGGTTCCTTTGTGTGGACTGTTAGCCCTAATTCAATCCCACACAATTTCCTTGTACCCTCAGCAATGAAGTATCCTTTCCTTTGAATGAGGGGAGGTTAGAGGACATCAATCCAAGGGAAAACAGGCTGAGACTGAAAAAGCAGTGTTAAGACCAAGGTGATCCCTGGAGGGCAAATGAGCTCTCTTGCTGGTGGCTGGCACTGGCAGCTGAAGTGTCACTGAGTGTCACGATGCTGATGTGCCCCGGATCTGTATCTCACCCCGCCGATCACTAATGCCGGAAGCAAGGGCTCTACGGGCTCATCTGCAAAGCCAGTTTGAGTCAGATGCAGAGTACTGCTGCCAACTGCCTCTGATACAAATATCTCACACGTTTCTAGCCCCCCTCACACATCTCCAGTGGTCTGTGCTCCTTCATGGCTCATCCCCAAAGTGCTCAGCCCATGACAACACGCTGGGCCCCACAACCCTTGCGGTGCCCTGATAGTTGGCTGCCTCAGCTCTAAGTGACACCTCAGCAAAACAGAAGAAGCAGCACAGATGAGAAATGCTGGTTTCTCAGCTCAGCACAGATGAGACCGACAATGTTTTCAGTTTCAGCTGGAAAATCGATCTCTTTAAAAGACGAGCAGTGTTTTTTTTTTCCAGTAAGCAAGGCCCGTTATGGTAAGGATGCTTGAAACAAGCATAAATGTGTGACTTCTAAGGAAAATAAAACATAGAATGTTGCTAGCAAAATTTGCTATAAGCAACATTGATGAAGGCTGGCCTTGTCCTTGCCCAAGCAGCAAACTGCAGTGACATCTCAGGAGGCAGACAAGACTCATCTTGGGTAGCAGTTGGTATACAAAACAGGGATGATGGCTTTGGAGCCTTTCTGATATGTGTAATCAGCAGCTTCCATCTTTGGAAAACAGAAAGCGACTCAAATTGGCTCCAGTAAACATTGCTTTTCTTTCTCTGTTGATGGTTAGGTTAGTTTCGGGGATAGTTTCTGTATCATTTCTGATGCTATCATATAAGAACATTCCAATAGCATTTGAAAATACACAGTCCTATGTCAATTCTAATTATTAACTAGGCATTATTAGAAAGAGGACAAAAATTAGGAAGAAAAAAAGTATATTCCCATACATAGCACTGAGAGATATTTGTAATTTTGTAAAAATAAAATGCTTGTGCTTTAGCAGGTGAAAATGTACTGATCTGGTCTTCAGGATTATTTTCTTTCAAATGCTGTCATGATTAATACCAAGTGGAATTCAAGCAATTATGCAAGAACAGCCAAAGTAAAGCCTCAATATCACCTGTATATCTAAAACTGACTTAAAAAAAAAAGATACAGTTGAATATTTTCAGTTAATATCCTGGATACCTTCTTCTGCACATGGACCACAATCTAACACGTGCAGGGAAAAGCGCTGCAACATTGGCTTTAGAACACTTCCTTCTTCTGCTCTAGGAGGCATGTCTGTACACAGCTGTGACCTGCTTCAAGAAGGGCATCCAGAAACTACAACCAGTGAGCAGCCAAGACAATGCAAAGTTCACCAAAGCCATTAGAATTGTGAGCAAATTGACGTGCAGAGACGCTGGAGAGGTAGGATTTCCTCACATTGCTCATAATTGTCATCATTCCTCCTTATTTTCTATAGCAGATTCCCCCTGCAATGGGGAACTGTCGAAAGCAAATCTGTTAGAAAAATCAATCTGCCCATCATTACTTTGGAAATTAAAAAGTCCAATTTTTGCAGTTTTGGAAGAAGCATTCCCTGTGACCCTAAAAAGTCACATGTGCATTTGGCAACCACACAATGTGCTGGCAGAAGGACAGGGATCACTGCAAAAATGTGAATGAAAAGTGTCATTACTAAATTCCTTCACTTTTGAAAAAGCTTGTGTCAAAGCTTTTGCAGCTAGAAAAGGCATTGATTACAACCCTCTTGATTTTTCAGTGAGAAAGTTTGACGTTTGATTTAGGATTGTGATGTGCTCTTCAGAAGTAGCATGACTCTCTTTATCTTCCAGCAGTGTGAGTATACATGTGAATCTTATGAGAAGAAAACCCCCAAAGAATTTTTGAAGAGCTTTGCAAATCTAATGCAGATGGTAAGCACAGTTCATTCCTCCTGGGTGCTTTTTTGACATTTTGCAAACCATTACAGATATTCCTTATTTTACATCCTTACTAACAATGTGTTGTTTTTACAGCTATTCAAGAACTAATCTAGGACACACCAGAGCTGAAGGCTACTGAAAATCTAATTTTTAAAGCAGACACTATGTTATATTTAAGATGTGAAAAATGTAAATACTTTCCAGTGCTATTATGATGTATTCTCTGTGTGTGGTAAGTGAAAGCTTCTCCCAAAATATTTAGAAGTCTTATTTTGATAACTATTTGTGAGATGGATGCTATTCTGCAAGTGATTCTAGCCCCACCTTACAGGGAAAATTAAATTCTAATTTCACAAAAATAGGCTCTTGTAAGGGACTTAATTGTCCCCCTTCTGCTGAACTAGAAATACAAGAGACGGTTACTTTTGTATTTTTGCTTTGATCTTAATTGAATCCCATGCAGAGATTTCTACAACTTTCTTAAGAAAATTAACCGAAAAATTATCAGAGGCTTTGAAGCCTCAAAGGAAATCTTCTTGGACTGATTTCCTTATTTACAATAATACCACACACAGAGCTTTATTTATAAGTTCTTAGACTGCATCTTAGCTAACTATGTAAAAATATCCTGCATTTAACTGCCTTCTCAGGACTGGAAAAAACATTTACAAATCAGACTGTATGGCTGTGATTAACATCTTGAAGTTAATGGCACATTTGCCATGGGATGCAGTAGGGAGAGATGTAACCCACGTGCTCTAAGTGAAGATACAGGATTCTGAGGGGAAATCCTGTTTTGGAAAAAGGAATTTCATCTACACTGCCCCATCTTAACATGATAGATACAGCAGAGGAGTGACAGCCACCACAAAATGTCCAATAAATACAGTAATTGATGATTATTCTGAGCAAAACTTCTAATGCATACTGCTCCTTCTCAGAGGACAGCATTTACCCTCATATTCATGTACCATTTTTCAGGTACATTTGATGTACCTCTCTCCTCCTGAGTAATTTTAACAGTTTTTTTATTTGCCTTTTTTTCTTTAAAAATCTGTAGAGTGTTTTGTTATGTGGAAACTTTCCTGTACAGCTCCTGAATCCTGAACATTTCCATGGAATTATGGCCAGAGATACCACTGAAATTAAAATTAATTAATTAATATTAATTTTTGCAGCTTAATTATATACCACCATATTCTGTTTGCAAGGATTCCAAACCTCTGGGTTCTTCCATCTGAGCAATAACTGCTAATCTACCCCAAACAGATATTGGTACCACATGAGGAAACTGATCTTGGAAAAGAGCATAAAGCTCTCCAGTAAAAATTAACCTTTCATCTGATTTTCTCTCTACTTAGTAGAAATGTGGTAGAGAGAGGAAACTGGAAAACTGTATCTAGTGTTTCAATGGAAAATGTCAGGCTTAGTTACCTCCAGAAATAATGAGGTACCATTAAAAATATTTCCATTCCTATCAATGTCGTCGGCCTAAAGGAAAACTAATACAAAAAGCTTTGCTGCCTCCACATTTTCACTGTCCTGACATGTGAACTTCCTCAAAAATGTACATCAGAAAGAGGAAGGAAGATCCCCAGGGCACAACAAACCAAGTGAACTCTCCTTGTTTCTGGTGATGGTCATTTTGATTTAGAAAGTCTTCTTCTTCTCCTTTTTTTTTTCTGTTTCAAAACCTGCTTTTCCTCTGGGTAATGTCCTATCTCATACCTCAATGTTTCCACATTTCTGCATCAGAATCCACATACTAAGAAAGAACTACCACTCATATGTAAGTAATCAAAGTACTGAGTTTAAATGATGTTCTTTCTGCACCTTCTATCCCTGTTTCTCTTGTTTCACCTACCCATGAAGTCCCTCCATCGCCAATTGGTGAGCACTATGCAAAGCTGCTGCTGTAACTGCAACAGATTTTAAAGGCCAGGTAAAATTCCATTCCAGATTTGGATAAAAGCAACCAGGAAAACATTGAAGCATGTCCTGCAGTTACAGCATACTGCTGATGTTTCTACATTTGCAGTTTAATGGAGGGGTTTTAATTGAACAGCTTTATCATTAATTAAGTGCATTTTTACGTGAGTCCTAGAAGGACAACAAATAAACCAGCACTTTGCATACAAACCCATGGAATATTTGCATGTGCAGGGTTTTGGAGAAAGAGCTTTATTTTTGTACAAAGAATACAGTATGCACTTCTTTATCTATAAATGTCTTTTCCAGTAAATTGCTCAGTGCATTGAAATCAGTGTTCTTTGAAAGAGCCTGTTAAAATCTTTGCTGCGCAGACAAAATGGGATTAGCATGCCCTGATAAACACAACATAGTGCATTATATATTTATTAGCAATCATGACAAAGCCTTGAGAAGGAACTTCTGTGCCTGGGATGGACATTTCATGAATGAAAAGCAATTCCCTACAGGAATGTCATAAGCTAACTAGGTACTCCTGCCTACACTGCAGCAATGCCTGGGTTTTGTCTGAGAGCCAGTTAAGTAATGCACCTATTTCTGTTTAGTGACTTACTTCAATGTTTTTAACTATGGATTTTATCACACCAAACATAGTGCTAAAGCTTATTTTTTCTTGTTTTAAACGCAATATACTTGTTTATTAGTTGAGGTTATTTCTTGTACCTGCAGAACAACTTAATTTAAAATGCTCACTTGTAGCATTCAAAAAAATAGTGAGAAACTGCAACAAATATAACTTTAGAGGGTTAATTGCTCTGAGACCTTGCTGAAAATTGAAATAATTGGACAAACCAGTCCAGCTACATATAGAGAATATTAATCACAAAATCAGCACAGCTGATTTTGGCCAACACCACACCTCTGGCCAGTGTCAGCACAAGCACTGTGGTCATTTGTGCACTTCAAATATGCTTTGATTTACAAGATGTGTGGCCTTGTCTTCACTCTTTGATTTGTCAGAGTGATCAAAGATGGAGTGTATTATTCAGGGTGTGCTATTTGAAGAACAGGATTAATGAAGAATAGGAAATCTGTGCAGGACAAATCAGCGTTCAAGAACACATCATCTTGTTCTGCAACAGCATTCGCAGAAGGAAAAATGAAGATGCCCAAGGAGGAATCTGTGACCTTAGGACGGACCAGATAGCACAAATCTAAATGTGTTGTACACCCTCTTGACTTCTTTCTTTTCATGAAATGAACTCTCTTTGTACTAAGTGCACTCTGCAGAAACAATGTGTGTTTCATTAACAGAGTACATCATGTAAGCCATAAAAGCTCGTTACCTCCCAGGGAGGCTTTACAATATATTTATGATTTTGATCATAAGTGCCCTTTGTAGGCACTTTGAGATGTGTTTTAGCATGGTATATACAATTTTGTATAATATTTACTTTTCCTGAGAGGATTCTTTATTTTTATATCAATTGATTAATCTAATTTAATTATTTATTGCATTTCTGTAAAGGGAATGTTTGTACTAAGGACTATGTGGTCTGATTAATTTATATGCCTGTGATATTAAATAATTTTAGCTAATACCGTTTTCTCTTGCTCGTTTCTTCAAAAACGTATTTTTGTAGTTATCCGTGTGAGAACTATTCCCTGTGGGTTTTCCAGCCACCTCTATCACAGACCTGGTTTGGAGTGGGGTAAATTGTTCCTAAGTATTTATGCATCTCACTGAGTGAGTCAGAATTGACTAACAGTTTATTCTGGATCAATCCCAGCACATGTGATTCCTGCTGTTTTCTTGTGTGCAAAGACAGGAGGGATCCCTCCACCCAGCGGGAAAACCCTCAGGGAATAGTTCTCACTACAAATAGGTAGCTACAAAACTTCCCTACAGTGTTCTCTGCTTTGAACTTGTGCTGACCACCCATGTTGTAACAGGAGCAAAGGCGAAATAAAACGTTTCCTACTCAAATATCCTTGTCCAAGCTGCTCATCTCCATTGCTGTACTGCCACCTTTTGATGGCAGTGTGGAAATTCAAAGCAGTTCGAGACACAGAAGAAGCAAGCAGAGTATCACTGTCGTGACAGTGAGCTTTGAGATACATCACAGACCTAACAACTAAATTCTCCACTTCCCATTTAAGTTCTCCTTTTTCCTCTTTACACAGCTGAAGGTCCAATCGTGTTGCTGTTGTAACATCATGAGGACCATGTTTAAAAGCATCCCTTACCACACCAGTCAGGCTCTTCAATTGCTCATTTCCCTTTGCAAGAGGATGTACAAATGGATGCTGTGTCCGTGTGTCCCTTCATTAAGTGTCCAACAACCTATCAGGAATTCTCCTGCTCTTTTTAGACTTTATAAACATTCCTCTTACTTTTACCTCTTTCCATTTTTTGAAGATGACCTTATTATTAAATTTCTCTACTGTTTCCTGTCCTCTCTCCATGCCCACCCCTGGTTATCCATCTTCCTCCCAACTCTAATTCCCCACACTTGTTCTCCCAACCCCAGTTCATCTTCTTCCTCCTGTTACACTTCCTCCAGCTTCCTTTCTGTTATCAGGGAATTTTCAGACACTCCTAAGGTGCAAGATTGTCAGCTGCACAATTCCATTAAAATGGAAAAAGA